CTAATTTATCCCATTTAATGTAATTACTTATAATTAAGAAGTTTTTATTCCTATGAGTCCTTACACAATTATAAGCTTCTTGAAGGAAGAGACTGCTTTGTTTTCCTTGCTATTATCTTCACAAATTCACAAGAACAGAAAGCTGGTAAATGTGTAAATAATACATGGATAGATGAATTATTGAATTAATTAATGCTATCAGATGAGCTTCCTAGTAAATGTATATGTCCCTCTAAAAAGTTAATCCATTCAGCTTACATTCATTAAGGGGCTATTTGGAGCTTATCTGGTGACAAACATTGTATAAATACAAAGGCACATATGAAAAATGCTCTTGCCTGGGGAGTTTACTGCCCAGTGGGAGAAAAGATGAGAAAATATACAAGCACAAGAAAGAATAAGAATTATTTTAGAACTGTCCACAAAGTATTATGTCTGGGAAAATGGATAAAAGAGAAGTTCTTGCTCTTCTAGCAAAACCACATACTGTATTTGGGCTGGCTCCTGGAAAATGGAGAAGAGATTTTCCAAGCCAGGAAGGTGAGGTATTAAGTACCATGAGCAACACTTTGTGGATTGTGGATAAGAATGCGCTTTTGTTCAAACCCCTCCAGCCCACTGTCCAGTGAGTGCTGTGTGTGGTTAATGACTGGCACCCTTAGGATATGATGACTTCTGCTGAAGAGACAGAAGCAAGCAAGAAGAATGAGTGCTAGAGAACAAGGCCAGGGCCAAAGCCCAAAGAACCCCAGTGCTGAGGGCTGGAGAATGAGTCTCTCCTTGATTCTGTAGGCAGTGGTGAGGCCACAAAGGCTTGTAAAGTAGGGCACTGCTTTTCAAACTTCACCAAGTGCTCCTAAGGCACAGGAGTGTGCATATGCACCCCTGGGGATGTGGGACACAGCTCAGGACAACCTGCCACCAGCGTGGCATTTCTTTAAAATCTTGCTTTACTTTAAAAATACATGTGAAGTTGTGTATGCAGTGGTGCAGCCTATAATCCCAGTACTCTGGCAGGTTGGCGTGAGTGTGAGGACAGCCTCAGCAATGTAACAAGACCTCATTTCAAAAATTAAGTAAATAAATGTTAAAATGCATATGAATAGGGCCGGGGATTTAGCTCAGTGGTTCCGTTGATTGCCTCGCAAGCGCAAGGACCCAAGTTCGATCCCCGCCAAAAAAAAAATGCATATGAATTCTGTGGATAACTCCATATGTATTTTTAAATATAGGGTATTATTTTAAATAACTTGACTTCAGTATAATGACACTCTAAGAAGATAATGACTACATAGTTGGTCAATAATTCTAGGTGGTCCTGTCACACTCACTGCCCATGACTTCCAGAGATATGAGCATATGTTCCTGAGAAGGACAAAATAAAGAGATTACCCATTCTGTTCACTGCTATTTTCCTATAACCTTAAATGGTATCACTACATAGCAAGTGCTCAATAAGTGTCTATTAAATGAATGAATCCTTATTAATCCTTATTAATGAATGAATTATTAAATGAATGTCTGTAATCCTAGCACTGTGGGAGGCTGAGGCAGGGGGAATGCAAGTTCAAGCCCAGCCTGGGCAACTTAGCAAGACCTTGTCTCAAAATAAAAAGTAAAAAAAAAGGCTGTAGATGTAGCTCAGTGTGAAGGCTCTAGGTTCAATCCCCAGTAGCACAAAAGTAAACTAAATAAAAAGAAATACAATGATGGACATGAGATGGTATGGCAGATATTCTAAAAAGTGATGTGAGGCAGATGATCTTAGATTATTACAGAGGTACAAACTAGGGAGGCAGGGATTTGGCCCTTTCAGCTGCAAGACACTCCTGGATGCTGAATGAAATACATCCCAACACCTTTTATCTCAATTCATTCCCCTGTGACACCACAGCCCACCTGGAGACTTGAGACAGTTGCACTGATGAAAGAGCAGAAATAGATCTCTACCTGCCTCTGGATTAATGTCAAGGAATGGTAAACTAGTCAGCTGGAAAATTGTAGATAAAAGCAGAGACTCACTCTTAAACTAAAAATAACAACCTAAAAAGAAAAACAGAAAAACAGTTCTCAGAGGACCCACTCCCATAATGTTTATCTAGATTCCCTCTCCTAAATCTCTGCTTAAAGGAATCACTTCCTCCTCTGGCAATTTTTTCTTTCCTTTGCAACTCAACCTTGACTGACCAAGTCATTTCCAACCAAATACTCAACACCCATGCCATCCTCTGCCTTTACATTTTCCCTTGACCTAACACCCATCCTGCCCACTGAAAGACCATGACCTTTCAGACCATGAGTCATGTTTCCCACTCTGATGTTCACTATTCGTTAATTGCCATCTCCTCAGAACTCCTGTGGTCACAGAAGTAGTGCCAATTTTGTGCTGTCTTATAGGGTTTGTTAATTCTTTTACATGCCTTAGAACTATCGTGGATGCTCCTGAGTATAGGGAGTAGGAATCCTAAATTAATCCCACACTGTACCTTCCACAGAATTCTTGTACAATGCTGGAACATAATATGTGGTCAAGTTGCACATTCAAAGGTTGGTACGGGAACTAGCAATCAATGGAATTGCATGTATGCCCCTGCACCTTGTCACAGAGCTCAGCATCAGTTCCTTGGACACAAAAATCATCAGATCTGTGCTAGAGTTTTGCACATTCATGGCCCCAGAAAGGTCAGAACCTCACAGGAAGCCAATGTGAAATGCACAAAAAGCTGATTCCAGTACTAAAAACCACAGTGGCTTTTAAAGACCACAGAGAAAATGAAAGATTTACACAAATATTTTCCCTAGGGAGGCCTCTGTCTATAGAATGTTTCCAAGCTGCAAATGCAGCAAAAAAAGATGAGGGTAGAGAAAGAGCTCAGCTAGGCAGAATAGAGCTTCACTTTAACTGAGAATGATGGCCCCATCTGAAGATTTCTGTACTTCTTTAATGTGTTCTGAAAACCTTGACTCATTTTCCCCAATCTGAACCAAAGTAGTTTAAATACAGATGACTGGTGAACATAAAAGAAAAGAGGAGGTAAGGAAAGGAAGAAGTGAGGGAGGAAAAAAGAAAAAGAAAGAAATGCTATTTTTTAAAATCCCCACATATGTTTTCTCTTTGGGTTTCAGAGGTCAAAATTAGCAAAGTGACTGGCAATTCCCTCATTCCTAAGGAGCCTTGGGTTCACGTCCTCTGGTACTTTCCTCTCAGCAAGGTTTTATGGAGAAGGGAGGCCTAATGGGAAACAGAAGCCTTTTCTCTTTTTCTGTCATGTTGAGCAGAGAGTGCTGCAAAGGAAATGCTTCCCAGCAGGAGAGTTTCTACCCTTTAACGAACACGAGCTTCCTGAGCACAAGGACCAGCTAGCTGTTCCATTTCCTGAAGGACTGTGCCCCTCTGGCATAGGGCCGCACAGCACTACCAGGAGTAGTATGGTCACTAAAGGACCAGACCTGCAAAGGTGACTATGCTGAATAGGCAAAGTGGGAGAATAAAACCCATAGATATAATCAAGTTTGTAGTTGTTCTCAAAAACGAAGAAGATGGGGCCGGGGATTTATCTCAGTGGTTCCACCGCCTGCCTCACAAGTGCAAGGACCCAAGTTCTATCCCCGGTACCAAGAATAAAAAAAAAAAAGAAAGAAAGAAGATGAAATGTCTGCAGTATATAAGATAATACTTGCCCCTTCAAAATCACTTATTGGTATTATAGGTATCTTGGTAGATTGAACACAAGTGTTTTTGTTTCTACCCCAACACCTGTTAAGATGAAAGTAAAGGAGTAAAATGGATATAAATACAGAAGACAGTATAATGGAAGAGAAAATAAAAGTGAAAGAGAAAAAATGTCAACAGATGTTTGGCTGATGAAGCTGGGCATGGTGGTGCACACCTGTAATCCCAGCACTCTGGAGGCTGAGGCAGGAGCATCACTGGGTCCAAGGCCAGCATGAACTATACAGTGAGTTCAAGCCCAGCCTGAACTACATAGCAAGACTCTGTCTCAAAAAAACCAAAACAAATGTTTGACTGATGAGAGTAGGTGGAGGAGAGGTAACTAATTTTCCAAAACACAGCAGTTGAAACCTCAGTGCTTATGGTGAACATGCCAATTTACTAAAGAGTTTGAGGACTAGAAGCCACATAGGTACAGCAAAAGGTTAAGCTAAATCATGGAGCTTAAAGCTGGAGGACTGAGTGAAAAATCTGTTGCTTTTTTTTTGGAGATGAAACAATTTTAATGTCCATTATTATGTTCTACAAAGAAAAATCTGTTTTTACAAAAGAGAAGTTAGGTACCTAAGTTTCTTCTTCTGTGCCTTCCACAGAGAAATCCTGACTCCTCTGTCTACCCAGAAGAAGGAAACTTTGGGAAACTAGACTCAGTAGACAGCCAGTTTGTAAACACAGTCAGTGTCTGAAGGCCTTTTCACAGGCGCTGTTCTACTTGTGTCGTGAATGGGACTCCCTTGACCTCTGAGCCCCCCCAGCTCAGATAGTGTTGGCGGCCATTACCCACCTCCCAGTGACAGACTGGGAACTTAAGAATTCTCTGTAGAAAAAGCCAACAGACCTTGACAGTGACATTTAGAAACCGCACAATGAAAAGATCTACAGAGAAGCCTGCTGTTTTCATTTAGAGCACTTTCAAACAGCTTTTTAGCACCTCTTACTTAACATGAGACATTTGGATAAATTAAGAGAGAAACAAATAGACATGCAAGGAATCCTATGGTTAATATTCTGAAAGACGTAATGGAGAATATATCCTTAAAGAATAGGATGTTATATAAGAGGAATAGATAATAGCAACAACAATAATAGCAATATTTATTAAACATGTATCATGTATCAGACATGTGTTAAAACTAACTTAATTCTTACACCTTAATCCTTCTTTAGTGTCCATGGGTTGGATACAATTATCTTCCCCATTTTATAGATGAGAAAACCAAGATACAGAAAGGATAAAGAATTTGCCAGAGGTTATACAAGTAGAAAGGAATGTATATGGTATTAGAATTGCTGATTTCAACAACTACCTTATATTGCCTCCCAAGAGATCCCTTAAGAAAATACTTGGTACAACTCAATCCAATAACATGAAAGAAAAGATGAGAAAATTAAAGGATCAACCCAGGAGTTCCAACATCTGAAAGATAGGTGTACAGAGAAGAGAAAATGGGAGGAATTATTTTTAAATAGTACAATAACATTTCCTGACAAATAAAATGAATGTTGAGATTGAATGGCTTCAAAGTAAATGATTTTTTTAAAAGACCTACACCAAAACCCATCATAGTAAAATTTTACAACTCCAGAGATGAATACTCTAAAAATTTCCAGAGGAAAAGGCAGATGTCAATTATAAAAGATTGGAATTAAAAATGGCATCAGACTTCTCACTGGGAACTCTGGGATCTAGAAGCCAATGGAGTCCTCCTGGAAGTCCTCTTTCCTAACTGTCTTCATTTGCACTGTCATGGCTGCCTTGATGTCCTGAATCAATTCAAAACATTTACCTTTCATGTCATAATGACTTTGGGAAGAGCCAGAAGTTGCACAGTGCCAGATCTAGTGAGTAAGATGGGTGAGGAACAGTAATGTTTTTATAAGCCTGCCTTTCCAGTGGATGGCACTCAGCAACAATATTTACCATATTTTTTAAAATTAGTTTGTTTTTTGTCACCCTGCCCACCCCGGTACTGGGAATTGAACTCAGGACCATGTGTTTGCCAGGCAGGCAAGGTGCCACTGAGCTAAATCCCAGGCCCTCTATTCACCATATTTTGATCACAACTTGTAAAGACACTGAGGAAAGAAAACTTCCAAAATGCCTTCAGAAAGTGGCCAGAATGATGGAATAAGTGTATTCAAAGAAGGGGGAGTTTTTTGTTTTTGTTTTTGAGAAGAATTAATATCAATGTGTCTTTTATTATAATAAATTTTTAAAAGTTAACCATTCACCATATATTTTGGGGTTTGTTTGTTTTTTACTGGAAATCGAACTCAGGACCTTGCACTTGCCAGATAGGCACAGCACCGCTGAGCTACATCCTTGGCCCCACCATATATTTTGATCACCTCTATATATCTTTTTGTTCTGTTTGAATTTTTACCATCCGCTTACCTTACATTATTCAAAAAAAGTAAGCCTATTTAAGAGATTCCAATAATTAACTAGATTGAGAAACCACTTATCTTAGGTAATAAGTTTCTTGTTCCTCAGTACCTTTTCACCATAATCATGAAGTACATCTGGTCGATAGGAAGGGATGTCGGCCAGAGTCTGCTGCTCTGATGAAAATGCAAAGATCATCAGGAAGTCAATTGCCTGACAAGACAAACCCAAGACTCATAGTTAGATCATTTGAATAAACATATGGTTGAATGGATGAACAAATGAGCATGAAGCAACCATTTGAGTCACTTGGGTGTGGGTAAATGACAGGAAGAAAGTAAAGTCAGGGGAAATTGCTTGGCATTACAAATCCTTCCTTGCTGAGACGTGACATTTTCTGTGAGGACATATACTGGGTGTAGGAAGCCAAATTGCAATGCTAGATTTAGGCTTGCCACCTTAAGAGAAGCTAATGTCTGATTTAGCCCATTATCTGCACAACATCATTAAGTAGCATACAGATCAAGGTCTAGATTTTAATTGCCATTATCTTTCTCTGGAAGAAAAGGAGCTCTGAGAGTATCCTTGTGAACAGTGAGCTAGGTCTGATTATAGTCTGCTCACACACTGGACATAAGAAGCATATTAGGCCTGGAGAGTATTGTCCTATGTTCAATATGCAACACTGAAAAAAAGTCTTTAAGAACTTATCTAATACACTAGTTATTTTCAAGATATTTCAAAAGAGTCTGTTCAATGATATTATCCATCTAGTCAACTTTTCATGAATACATTAGTAAGAATATATTCTAAACATTTCTCCCAAATGATCATAGATAATAGCTTTAGCCTCTTGGAGAAATACTACCACATTCTTTAATATTGGATACAAATGCCATACAGGGAATTAACGTCTTTCATATTCTACCTGCTGGAATCTTTGACAATAATTTTGATTTTTTTCTCTTGAGATCAAGATGGCACAGCCTTTGTAAAAATGTCCCCATGATGTATCTTCATGTATTACAAGAGTGACATAAACAGCATTATAATTTATATCTTTTTTTGAGCGTAGGTCTCAGCTGTATCAATTATTAGCTAGCTCTAAGATCTTAGAAAACTACTTAGCTTCTCTGAATTTTAGGTTTTACTCTCTCAAATGAGTCAAAAACCTGCTTCATAGGGTTGTTCTGATTAAATGAAATTATATATGTGTGTTTATCTCTTTAAAGTCATAAAATGGATTCATAAACCCAACTAGGTCCTAAAACAACAATAACAAAATCAGCAACAGTACCCATCCTCTCCAGAGTAGTGTTATTTGTGCTGTTAGTTATACAACTAGAAAGGAATGTATTGAATTTGAAGTGTCATTTTTATCATCTGGGTGATTTCCCTGTAAATAGAAAATATAGTTCCCTTGATTCCTTGTTTCATGCCTCTTCTGTCCCTCCCTAAAAAGAGTGACTGAAAAGAGAGATGAGATTAAATTTAAAGAGATTTTAAGAGATTAAACTAAATCTCTTTATTATTAGGTTTTATATAAAGGTAGAGAAGGAAAGATAAATACAAAGATTAAATTGAGGCTTTCATGTATCAGTGGATTTCAAGTATCAACATAATCTCAATTCTTCACTGTATGGATCCCTAATGATAGACTATTGCTTTCTCAGTTATAGTAAGTCTATTTTTAATTTTCATCTTCTGTTAAATCTCTGCTGAAGGTAATAAAAGATTTAGATTTAGAAAGCGCCTACCATTTGGAATGAGACAAAGGCTATAAATAGATATGTCAATGAAATAGGCTACTTCTGAGTCTCAGAATCAAAGACACATATTCTGTCTGATTTGTGTACTGGCACCAGCATGTGTGCAAGGGTCTCTGGGCAGGACTATATAAGTGCATGTTCCCATATATGTGCATACATGAATACATGCATGGAACATGTATGAGCATATTATTGAGGACACAATTCCAAGGGCTGCTGTATTTCTGACATGCCTGGTCTTTGTGAACCAGGTCAGTCTTCTTTTTCTGACAATTATTACTGAAGAAATCAAAATAAAACTTTATTCTCAGACAGTCAACCTCTATCCTACTGGCATGCTGAGTATTTGATTCTATTGTCCTTATTCTTTCCACCACCAGACTGAGAACTTGTCAGAACAAGGGGTCCACAGTGATGTTCCAATCTGCCGGCACTGAGGTCAGCTTGGCAACTGGCTGCCAATCACAGTCTGTGGAATGCTGTCACCTCTCATTTAGAGCTGCCAAAATTTCAACGTATTCTTTAAGGTCCAGAGTAAATGCTTCCTTTTCTGTGAATTCATCCTATCATCTTTGTAATTTTCCTCTTCTGATATCCTACAGCACTTTCACACAATATTCATATTTATCATGCACTGCTTTGCATTGGGATTGGTAAATACCTGTTTTGTTTCATGAGACTAACATCTCTTCATAGACAAAAGGCAGTGTCATTCACCTTTATAAGCCCAGCAGCACTAATATGGTAACCCGAGTGTTGCTCATATTTGTTGAACAAATGTGGACTCCTGGTTACTCCCCTCTGGATGCAACCATATTGCTGATGTTCTTGTTAGTTTGTGGCACCTAGAAACAGAAGCATTGGGAATAAAGTGTTAGTTTAAGGAAATGTTAAAAAAAGAAATTAGTATCCCTGAACATTTCATGATATATAATAATAGTACATTGTATACTAACAGAATTGATATGATTTTTGGAATGGTTTTGCTGTGACTTGAGATTCTCAGTGATAATCAGAGAATGTGAACAATCTGATAAACAGATGAGTTTCAATAAGAGACTGAGCTGAGGCTAAGACAGTGTCCTAGATTAAGTTCTGTGGTGCAGCCCTAGCTCGAGATGCCAGATTATGTACAGCCAGAGCACCCCAGGGTTTTGTAATTCAAGATAAAACACTGGCCTAGGACACATACTAAACTTCAAGACCAAAAGGACTTTGAGAGTTCTTTTACTTATTCCTTAGCCTTTCCTAACCACCTGAGACAGTTTTTGTCCCTTTCCTACAGCCCTTATTATGTAGCTACCTAGAGTCAATACTTCACACCATCAAAGCAATTTATTTTTTCATTAATAAATTCTACAAATACAATAAGCTTTTGGTCTTAGACAAAGAAAAAAATCTGTTTCAATTGAAAAAAGATAAAACAGTGACCTTAAATTGTTGAAAATTATTCAAATAGTGTATGTTTCTATTTCCTGGACATATTTCTCTCAAATACCTTGATATTTTCTAAGATTGCCATTTTTTCAATGGGTCTTTGAAAAATAATTGTATAAAGTTAGAATTTAGCACATACGCCAAATGGCAACAATATTATCAAGCCTAAACTCAAAATAGTCTATAATTCTTTGTCAGTTATAATCCTCAGCATGAAATACATGAGCATTTGCTATTCTTCCCTAAGGAGATTCTGCCCCCTTGTGGCTTAAAATATCTATAGATAGGAAAGAAATGTTATGGTTGCATGGCCCACCCAGTTCCTTTCAGTTTTTTGTTTGTCACCAGGATCGAACTCGGAAACTTGTGCTTGCAAAGCAGGTGGCAGAACCACTGAGCTAAATCCCCGGCTCCTTTCAGTTCTTTCAGAGAATCTTCCAACCATAACATTAGACTCTTTGTTTAAATTGTGTTAAGATCTCATTGTTGATGACAAAATACACTTACGTATGTTAATATACATGTGTATTTCATATTTTGCATTACATTCAACTAGTGGAGTGCCTGGAATATACTAAGAACTCAATAAATAAATATTTCATAGTAAGAATATCGAGTTCAACATCCATATATAAGGATTCCTTTCACACCCCTGAAATAACCCTGAATTAATGACTCCAATAATGGAAAATTCACTAAATAATACAGCTCATTCTCTTGTCAGACAGGACTGTTACAAAGTTCATCAACATATTAAGCCCAAGCTGGAGATGTATCTCAGTAGTAGAGCCCTTGCCCAGCAGGTTCAATCCTAGAAACTGGGGAGAAAAAGCACCCAAATAGCTTAAGTCTTTGTAAGAGAATCACATAAATGCAGAATTAGAAAAAAGTATTAGAAAGCCGGGCATGGTAGCACTCAGGAGGCTGAGGCAGGAGGATCACCATGAATTTGAGCCCTGCTTGGGCTACATATGAGTCCAAGACCAGACCTACATAGCAAGACCCTGTCTCAAAAAAAAAAAAAGTATTAGAGATCTCCCAGCCTATCATTTTATGGTCAAATCTATTATGCCATTTCGATCTAATTCTGCCCTCTGGAACAGCATTCAATAAGCTTATCGCTTGTTTTGTAGCCTTTTAAACGTTGGGAAGCAACTAACACACTGCCCTTTAGTCTTCCATCCTTCTAACTTATTCACTTATAATTGTGTCAACTATTTTTTATATGATGTGTTTTTCAAACCTCTAAACGCCAACTATTTATCAATGTCTCTCAGTTTTAGCATGCAGAACTAAACACAGATGCTCTGGATATGCTAGCTTGGCTTGGATAGAGTATAATGGAGCTGTTACTCTCCATATTTATAACATCTGACTTCGATGGATGCAGCTCCAGACTCAGCTCTTTCAGTAGCCACATCAACTGTAGTGTTCAGTAAGATTCTGGTGGTCTCCCAGTTCCTCCAGGTTGTTTTGGCCTAGTGTCTAGTAGTACTTTTCTGGAGGTGTTTTGCTTTTGTTTTTGGGTGCTGGGGATCCAACCCAGGTCCTTGTGCATGCTAAGTAAGAGCTTAGCCATTAAGCCTTAGCCCTGGGTCTAGCTGTAACTTGTAACATTTGTCTCTATTACATTTCTTCCTACATTTGGCTCAGGATCCTAGCTAGCAAGATAATCAAATGTGTCCAAACAGATTAGCTCTACTACCTAGCTTTGTACATCTACATTTGATAAAAACGATCTCTGTTTCCAACTTACCAATTTCAAGGTAAAGACAATGACATTTGGTCTGATTGGGAAAGAACACAGAATAAAAACTGAAGATAGGCTGTGTCTTCAGTGCCTCCCATGAGCTGTGTGGCCTCAGTGTTCTCTTCTTTAAAACTGAGCTGAGCACACAAGCAAAAGGCCCTGAGTTTGATTCCTGGTACCTGAAAAAAAAACAAAAAACAAACAGCTGAGCAGGGCATGTGCTCCATGCTCACAACTCCAGCCACTCTGGAGGCTGAAGTAGGAAGAGCTCAACTTTGAGGCCAGCCTGGGTAACTTAAAAAGACTCTGTCTTAAAATTTTAAAAATTAATTTGTTTTATTATTATTATTATTTTTTGGTACCGGATATCGAACTCGGGTCCTTGCGTTTGTGAGGCAAGCAGTGGAACCACTGAGCTAAATCCCTGGGCCCCCAAAAAATAAATTTAAAAGGCTAGGGATATAGCTCAGTGGTAAAGTGCCCCTGGGTTCAATCCCTAATCCTGAATAAAAAAGAGAAATACAGAACTGATAATATTAGCTTACTGTGTAGTCATGGGTCTCACAAAAGAAAATGCATTTGAATGAGTTAACTGTTAATTGTTAAATTAATGTGAAGTATTATTAACCATCAGCTTCTGAAGAGTTAGAAGGAAGAAGGGACTGTTACCATCATTATATTTCCTGTATCATCCATACTTGGAAGAGCTCAGTTTAATGTTTCAGTGTGGATAAACACATACAATTCACATATTGAAACAGTTTGTTGCACAGGGAAAAGGAAGTGAGTAGACCACTTTTAATCAGTCTGTGTTTAATCTGAAAAATTATGGCTGGAGTTTGAACCCAGCCTGAGCAACTTAGCAATTTGGTGAGACCTTGTCTGAAAATAAAAAAGAGCCAGAGAAATAACTTACTATGGAGGCCCTGGGTTAAACCCCCAGTACCAAGGCAGGGGGTGGAGGTTCTATCAGGCATTTAGCAGCTCATAGAAGATATGGGTTTTCTCTTCTGAAGACCCTCATAGGGTTGCTGGCTGGAGATACTCTGGGGTTGGGCTGAATGGGGGGGCTAGGAAAGCAAATTGTACCATATAGAACTGGAATTGCGCTGGTTCAGTGAGGGAGCTTGAAGGAGCCTGACAGGAGGGTGCAGGTTGTCCCATTTGCTCGGAGTGCTCCCTTCACCTTTAATGCTATCTTTCTGCAAAAACATATCTATCTTCACAGAACTACTGCCATCCCACTTACTCATTGGTGTCTTCTTTAGTTGCTCTTGTCAGAATTGATCTTCCACATAGTACTACTAATTTTTTTAGATACGCTGATGATGATGTGCTTGTGGAGATGTCTTTAGTTTCAGGAGATGCTCGATAAAACATTTATAAGCACAGTGTCATGCCATCAACAATTTACTTTCAACTGATAGACCAAAAAGCCTATCTATAAAGAAAGAGATAAAGCAAACGTGGCCAAATACTAATAGCTGTCAAGCAAAATGACTTCCAAATATCTCACAGTAGTCATTTGCCTCCTTGATGTGTTTTCTGGTTTTCCTTGTCTTTGAAAACACAGAATGTTCAATTATTAATAAATTGCCATTTGTGGAGCATGTACTCTGTTTCATGTGCCCTGCTAGTTACTTAACGTACAATGTATGTAATCTATATGACAATTTTTCAAAGAAAATGTTTACTTTCATTTTACAGAGAAGAATAAAGCTCACAGTGGTCAGTGAATGAACTGGTATTGCAGCTACTACATAAATCCATGTCTATCTGACTCCAAATCTCATTCTCTTTTTGTATGTCACACTGTCTCCTGAATTGCATACAGGCTGCCAGAAACAGTCTGAAAGTTTCATGCATGCATATGTGTGCGCAAGAACCTCTATAAAATTATATATATACCATGCTTCCCCAAAAGTAAGAACTAGCTGAAAAATAATCAGCCTAACCTTGCCTTGCCTGTTTTAGAGTAGGTGCTGAGCAAGAGAATAACGGTGGCAGGAAAGGCAAAGATAGGCTGATGGGCTGCCATTTTTGATCTCTAGTTTTCAAGGCTGATTATTTTCTGACTAGGTCTCATTTTGGGGGAAAGAGGATTTTATATATAAAATAAAGTTTGTTAATCTAAAAATGAGAGAAATTAATTATAAAATTTCCAAAGAGCTGGTTGAGGTTCCTGCCTTGGTGAAGTCATTTATATTCACTGAGAGGCCCCTCCCAGCACTGCTGTGTTTAATTCTGGATATCATATAAATAGAACTTGGCACTCTGTCAAAGCACAACACCCACTGCTATGTTCCTGTCCTTCTGGGACATCAACTGAATCCGATCCTTTGATTCCCTCTAGTGGCCTAACTCAGGAAGTTTCACAATGGATTCTTCAGATTTACTCAGTGTATAGTGAGTGTCTACTGTGTGTGCTAAATTGGTGCTGGCTTCTCTAGCACTGCCTAGGGGGTCGGGCAGTGATTTCCTTGAGCAGTGTGTGCCCAGTGAGGGTAGAAGCCAGAGTTCCTTACAAGCTTAGTTCAGTTCAGTGAAAACTGGCAAATTTCTGAGCCACTCTATAGCTGTTTTATGGGAATTGAAAAAGGATGGGTTAGGGCCAGGGATGTAGCTCAGTGGTGCCATGCCTGCCTGGCAAGTGCAAGGTCCTGAGTTCGATCCCCTGGTACCAGGGGTGGGGGAAAGGGTGGGTTATTATATGGATTATTTCTGTTCCAAATGAGTTATTAGGACCTTTGGGCTGGTTCTTTTACCCCTATGCCCTTAGTTTGCTTGTTAGGAAAACAGCTGCCAACTGCATGGGCTAGATTTAAATTAATTAAACAAATATTTATTGAATATCTATAGTATATTTAAACCCACAAGATAAAAAAATGAAAATATGAGATGTTAATAGGAAATTGTTGTGGAACATGAAGTAAAAAATTTTTAAATATTATTTGAAGGGATTGGGGGAGGTGAGACAGGGTCTCACTATATAGTCCAAGTTGACCTTGAACTCACTATGTAGCCCAGGTTGGCCTCAAACTTGTGGAAATCCTCCTGCCTCAGCCTCCCAAGTGCTGAGATTATAGGTATATGCCATCATACACAACTAAAGTATTATTTTTGTATATTGGAGCAAATATGAGGCCAACATCTGAATTCTTCTTGTGGTCTTACACCTTGCTTTACATTCATTCTAACAGGACTCAATGTTTGAGGTGTGCATGATAAGGGATGACACAAAACAGAAGTTAGGATCACTACTGCTAACCTGAGCATGTTGGAAACCAAGGAGAGGGTGAATGTTATTATAGGCAGCCCATGACCTGTAGTGAAAAGTAGAAGCAGCCTATGCAATTATACTTTCTTAGTAACTTTTTAGTTGGTGAGACAAAGTACCCACAAGTTAAAGGAGGAAAGTTTTATTTTGGCTCACAGTTTGTAGAAGTTTCAGTCCATAGTTGCTGGCTCTAAGGCAGAGGGCATGGCAGAGGGACATGGCAGAGGCAGCTTGGGTGTGGCATGACAGACAGGAAGCAGCCAGCCTGCCTTCCTTCCTTCCTTCTTTCCTTTCATATTCTATCCAAATTATAAATCTACTGATTGGTGCCACTCACACCCAGGACAGGTCTTCCCATTATCCACACCCAGAACCACACTAAACCAATCAGTGGACTAATCCGCTTATCACACCCATAATCCAGTGTCACACACCCATGATCCAGCCACCTCCCAAAAGCCCCACCCATGAGCATATGAGGCTTTGGAGGGACATCTAGATATAAACCATAATATATGTATTGCAAAATTGACAGTAAAGTTTGGGCAGAAATGTTGCCTGCAACTTTGAAATAGCCAATGGCTGATGGGTAGTGTCTATAGTACCAAAATCTTGTATTTCCCTCTCTGGGAATTTGACCTGCAGGTCAGGGAAAAACTGTTCAAGAAGCAACTGACCCTATAGGGTCAAGTTGTTAACTGATCCAATGTCTGATCATATTAATTCATCATTCTTTGATACTGTAGATTTAATAGTGGATAATATTAAGAACTAAGAAAGATTAATAGGAAAGAGGAGAGAAGGTGGGCTTGGAGTCTTACTTTAGGTTGCTATAACCAAGTACCATAGACTGGTGCTTTATAAACTACAAATTTGTTTTCTACAGTTCTGGGACTGTAAGTCTAAAATCAAGGTGCTAAAGGGATAGGATGTAACTTAGAGGTACAGCACTTGGCTAGCATATACACAAGGGCCTGGGTTTGATCTTCAGCACTAAAGAAAACAAAATAAACAACAAAAACCAAGGTACTGGTCAATTCAATGTCTAATGAGTGCTTCTTCATTCAGAAATAGCCATCTTGTCTCTATGTCATCACATAATGGAAGGGCCTACAGAGCTCTCTGGGGTCTCTTTTATAAAAGTACTGATTTAATTCATAAAAATTTCACCTTCATGGCCTAGTCACCTCCCAAAGGTCCCATCTTCATTTGTTTTTTGGTTTTTTTTGGTACCAGGGGTCGAACTCAGGACCTTGTGCTTGCAAACCAGGTGGCAGAACCACTGAGCTAAATCCCTGCACCTACAGGTGGAAGGTGACCCCAAAGGAGTCTGTCCTGGTGAACATGAGCTCCAGAGCAAAGGCCAGGAGGACTCACCAGAGCTACCCTGGGGCCACTTGACTTGGACTTCCCAGAATTTTGTTTTGAATAGAAAGATTTGTTTCATATTTTGAAACCCACAAGATAGAATGGAAACAGAAGCTCCAGTGATAAAACTGTGTGTCCCTAAAGGAAAGAGGAACTCCCTGTAAGAGCCCTCTTTTCCTCAGAGGTATTCTTGCCTAACAAGGAGGTCTGGAAGGGTAACCTGTCATTAAGAGAACTCTAAGGAGTGACCCTGGAAACACACCCTCATACTGGGGCCAGTTTGGGGGGAGAACACCAAGTTCTGTCTTCCCTTGTCCCACACACAGTGTTCCTGCAGAATTAACAAGGAAAATACAGGGACTTGATAGAGTTTGCCCAGGAATAGGACTGTTTCCAAAAGCCTTATGACACAAGAGAAATGAAAAATAAAGAAATAAAGCAATGTGTATGGTGCTGCAACTTCCTGTAACATAACTGAGGGTGGGCACAATTTTAGGAGCTGTGTGGGTATCTGTACTACAAAGGGAGGCACTGTGGCCAGGAAAAGGGTTCAGTTATTCCTGGAAATCACAATGGACTTAAATCCAAACTCAGAGTCCACCTTTCCCATTTAAATGAAATACGCCATGCTCCCTATTTTCCTAATTACTGGGAATGCAATTGCCATCCTACCAGTCGAAAAGGCTTGAAAACAATCTTAAGTTTTGAATTACTTCTTTATCTTCTTAGATACAGTAAGTTGCTGTGTTCTATAGTTTTGACCTCCATGTTACTTCTCAGATCTGTCCTTTATTTTTTACACCTTTACCACTTAACCTCGGTTACTCACCTAGAAAAATTTTAAAGCCAATTTAAAAATGCATATCTCAAAAAAAAATGCATATCTCAGTAGCTCCCCTTTTCCTATGTATTCTTACACACAATTCCTAAACATCTCTTCCTCAAAGAGAAGAAAGCCAAGGATTCAGTCACTGTGCCCACCGTGGCAGGCAAGCAAATTGCCCTACCACCTTCCCAGCCTAATGTGTTAACAACATTTAACATTTCTTCTTCACACCAGCCAACTTATTACCATTCACTGGTTGGGCATGTTGTTATCCTGTGCCTTCATTCCCATTATTTCTCCTCCCCAGTCTCAACACCTTTCCTCATCCTCTATTTCTATATATATCAATTCCATTTTCTGATGCCCATATAAAAAGCCTTCGCTTCTTTTCCTTCTTTTTTTCTTTTTCTTTCTGCTAAAGATTACACAAGGGCTGGGGATGGGGCTCAGTGGCACTGCACCTGCCTGGCAAGTGCAAGGTCCTGAGTTCAATCCCTGATACCATACCAAAAAAATTATACTAGATGACTGATATACAATATATACAATGTATAATATATATATAATATATATATATATTTTTAGTACCCAGAATTGAACTCAGTCCAAGCAGGTGTGGCACCACTGACCTAAATCCCCAGCCCAATATTTCTAATATTTACAAAACCCTTGAAAGAGTTAGACTTTTCCTAAATCCTATAATTAATTGGCTATGATTTCTCTCTTCTCTAAATTTGCATGGTCCTTTGATCATGAATAATTTCCCTTTATATTGCAATATTTCTTTTGTCATCTTTTAATCCTAAGTACATGCTACTGGACAGCCACAATTGTGGATTTAAAGGAACACTTGTAAAAGAAAACTAACTGTTCATCTTTAAGGTTTTCTCCAGCTTCAAATGGCTTTGATTCTGTAACTTCAAGAACAGGGGTTGCCGGGCAACTTAGTGCATGGTTTCCTTAAGCATCATCATCTTTCTGGAAGCCTCTGCTAGAAGAGAGAAAGATCAAAAGATGCCCACAGGAATATCCCATAATTATTGTTGTGATATTTGTTCCATATGTATTGCCACTCAGTTTCTGCACTACTCATCATACATTTTTCTCCTCCAGTTTCCTACTGTGTTGGAACCCTAGGAACTCACACTGAAATCAAGAGAGTGGCAGAGGAAAAGGTCACTTTGCCCTGTCACCATCAACTGGGGCTTTCTGAAACAGACACCCTGGATATCGAATGGCTGCTCACCAATAATGAAGGGGGACAAAAAGAGGTAAGTATATACCTGGCTAGAGTACCCCTCTTCCTTGTCCTCCTACATTTGCTTTCCTCAGTCTCCCAGTCTTTCACATTGGGTCTAAGAGAGCTAGAACTGTTTTTTCATCTGGCTTATGCTTGAAAGACCTTAGCTTTAGATATAAAACTATAGGGAATTTGGGTTGTTGGGATAAGATATTATGTTCTTTGGGTAAGCCAGAGCTACTAGAAAGCTGTTTGGTGCTAGCCTGGGAAGTGAATTTGCATTATTAGTATATTTGGACTAAGATACAGCAGTTTGATCCCCTAGTCTCCTGGGCAGAACCTGAAGCCTATAGGAGTCCACTCTTCCTCATCTTATACCATCACCATCTGGTTTGCACAAAATCATAACACTCAGGCTATAAGATTATATAATATGACAAGCCAAGCATAGTGGCACATGCTTATAAACCCAGCTACTTGGGAAGGTGAGGCAAGAAGAGAGCAACTTCAAGATCAGCCTGGGCAATGTAGCAAGTCCCATGATTTTAAAAAGGGCTGGGGACATGGCTCAGTAGTACAGCACTTACTTAGCAAGCATGAAATCCTGGGTTTAATCCCCAGTACCAAAAAATATATACATGATACAGAAGAGGAAGTACAGTACATGAAAGAAAATGTTGCACACAAATATAACTGGCCAGCAAAGGAATTGATACTGGTTCTGGATCTGGAAAATAAAAGAGCTCAGTGCTCAGGATGTGTAAAGCCAAGAGGGCCACTGGTTTCATATGCTTCTGGAGGATCCAGTGGCTGTCTGTCACTAGAGAATGACACCTAACCTCCCATTATTATCCTTTCTGTCTTGTCTGTATGCAGCCATGATAGCTTCCTCAATCAGGTCTGCTAGCATAACTCTTTCTCACTTTTTTTCCTCACTGACTTATTTTGTTGCTATAGTTCAAAAACCATCTTTTTGTTTAAAATTTGGGGATTTAAAAAAAACCTGTAATTTAAGGAAGCTTTAAAATTTTCCTTCCTTTTACCAGAGCTTTACTTCTTTTCCTGCAAAAAAAGTGAAAAGTTGCCCTCTCTTCTCTGTCTCTACCACTAATATAAAATGGTTTATGCTGGAAGAAGCTAAGGTTTTCACTTAAAATACATTTTAAACTCACTGTTGGAGTTTAACCTGCTTAAATAGCTGTCTACATCACCTTCATACTTTGATACTGCTTGTCATTTTATTCTCATAGTGCACCATCCTAAAATAATCTGTTCTCTTTAAGGCAAGGTCACCTTAACCTGAACAGTCTATTCCAACAACTTCTTGATCAGTCTTAGACCATGATATTCTCAGCTCTAAATGAAGTAAATAAGAGTCCATGTTCCTGTAATAAAAATCCAATTTAAAAAACTGATAGTTGGGCATAGTAATGTATGTCTATAATCCCAGAACTCTGGGAGACTTAAGCAGGAGGATGACAAATTTAAACCTAGTCTGGGCAATTTAGTGACTTAGTGAGACTTTGCCTCAAAAAAAAAAAAAAAAAAAAAA